TCTCGGTCCCCTCACTCCCCGTGTCCCCGGCCCCCCCCAGCAAGCTCCCAGGCCTCCTAAGCCTGGGGTTCACTGCCCACTGAGGGAGGTGACTATTGTTCTGGGGCTCACGGGAGCCGGCCCCCGGCGGCAGGCTCATCCACGCCCACTTGGTGCCCCCTGATTTCCGTGACCTCAGGACGCGCCCAGGGTGGACATCAGCCTCATGGTCCCTCTGATGGAAGTTCCCGGAGGTGGGGCTGGGCCTGGCTAGTTCCCTGGGGAGATGGGGGGGGGGGTGGTGGTGCAAGTTTTCTGTCGCCACTGTGCGGACACAGAGGGAGGGGAAGAAAGCACGCCATGCACCCCTCCTTCCGGGGCAGCTGAGGCCACCCACAAAGGCTGACTGCGGGTCCTTTGAGGCCGTGAAGGACTGTCTGCCTGCTGCCCTGCCTGGCGGTAACGCAGCCTCCCGCTGGGACCATGGCCACCAGTACACGGGGCCTGCGTTTGTGGATGCCGCCAACAGCTGCAGGCTGGGGCGGGAGGGCCGGGCGCCCGGCTCGCCCACGGCCCCTGCCCAGGCCTCCCAGCGCGTCTGGCCCTTTCTGCCCTGCACCGCTCAAGGCCGGGGGCCCAGGCCCGCTGCCCCACTAAGGCCCATCTCTGCACTGTGGCAGGAACTCCTGCGGTTCTGCGCGGGGGGGTGGCGCGGGGCCCTCAGGCCCCGAGCGGCAGCAGCCACCTTGGTCCTTGGGCTCAAGGCTGAGAGCCGCCGGGAGGCTTGTACTGTCTTGTTCCCGGTGTCCATCCCACTGTGGCAGTGGGAAGGGCAAGGGGCACAGCCTGGCGCCTCCGCGCTCTGAGGCTCACCCCTGGGCAGACACACAGCCTCTACTCGTGGAGGCGCCACGCTGAGCTGTGGGCACAGGTCACTGGAAGCAGGGGCCTCTGCCAGGGGCGATGTCAGGCCACCCAGCCTGGGGGAGGGGGATGAAGCCAGAAGGCTCTAACCCCAAAGGACAGCCTTCCTCACGGGCGGAACCTCTGAGCTTCTCTCCTTCTCCCCCAGTTTGTGGGTTCAGGACTGCCGCAGAGCCAGGGCCTTGGCGCCTGCTGCTCGCGCAGCTGAGCTACTTTGCAGGGCACTGTGAGGAAGCCAGGGTGCCAGGCAGCGACCGTGGGCGCAGCACTTGCTGAGCGGGGAAGACCCCTGGGCGACAGAGGCGGGGCCCACCTTCCCGGGCAGGTACGTGGGGGAGGGGCTGGTTCCCCAGGCCCCGCGGGGACTGACGCGCTGACTCACCCTCCAGGCCGGGACCGCGGTCCGGGGGAGCGCAGCTGCAGCCCTCTCCGGGGGATGCCAATGCTAAGCTCTGCGCCAGCCTGCAGCTTGTCTCCACAATCTCATCCAGATTCAGTTTCGGACGCTGCATCCACAATAGGCTGTAAGGTCGCACGGACACCACAGTAACGCGGGGGGCACGCGGGGGGCACGCGGGGGGCACGTTCCCTTTAGAGAACGCAACCAGGTATTGCCCCCAACACCCCTGGGCTGGGAGACAAAGGAAAGTAGGAAGTTCGCTAAGAAAGCCAGAATCTAGAGAGGCTCCAGCGCCCGCAGCAAGGGAGGGAGTTCAATGCAGACCCGAGTGTGATTTCGTTGTTTTAAAATGTTACAAAACGTGTGCAAACGAAGTTTTTAAAACGACGGATTATAACTACGACCACGTGTAACTTAACTGTTGTTTTTCTTTTTTTCTTCATAAACTTGAGGGAACAAGTTAACCTGGGTTAAGCCCAGGTATGGTGGCGGCAGGGACGGGAAGCCCGGAGGTCCGGGGCCCGCCCTCGTTTCCACGCAGCTCTGCGCGCCCCTGGGGCCGAGGCTCCCGGCGACCGGCGCGGGGCCAGCTCCGTCTCCACAACAAGTGCGCGGCCGCCGGGCGGGCCCCCGCCCTCCCCTCCCCTGCCCAGGCCCCACGTGCTCCCTCACCTGACCGCCCCCGGAGCGGGCGTTTGGAGCGAGGGGGGCAGCCGGGAACCGCCGGGCCTCGCCCACACGCCCGTCTCGGCGCCGCCCCCGCCCCCTCGTTCCGTTCCCGGGGGTCCGAGGCAGCCGGGCCGGAGAAGGAGCTCGGCGGGCCGGGTCCGCGCGCCCGTCACCCGGGGCTGCGGTCTCCTGCACGCGTGCGCGCCCGGCCCTGCGCCGCGGCCGCCCCGCGTTTCCCGGGGCGCGGACCGGGGACGGCGCCCACCCCGCGCCCGCGCCTCGGCCCTTCCCGCCGGCCCTCCCCGGGGCGACCAGTCCCGGCCCGAGCCCGCAGCCCGCCCCGCCCGCGCGCGTCCCCGCGGCACTGCGGCGGTTACCAGGACGCTGGCCCTCGGTCGGCGTGCTCTCCGGAGCCAGCCAATGAGAGGGCAAATCAATCATTTGAAACACCCAATGGGCAGAGTACTGCAGCGCGAGGGAGGGGTGTTTGATAGGGAGAGCAGAGGCCGAGGCTGACCAATGAAGAGCGAACGGCCCTGGGAAGGTGGGCGTTAGACTGCTGGATTGACGGGAAGCACAGCCAGTCAAACCAGGACGCTTGCCAGCCTCGTTCTCGCGGCCCAATACGAGGCTGGCGGAGGCGGGCGCGGTGGATATATAAGCGTTGGCGGAGCGTCGGTTGTAGCACTCTGCGCGCCCGTTCTTCGGCCCTTGCGTCCGTCCTTCCGCCCGCGCCGCCGCCGCCGCCGCCGCCATGAGGGAGATCGTGCACCTGCAGGCCGGCCAGTGCGGCAACCAGATCGGCGCTAAGGTGGGCGGTGGGGCGCCTGGGCCCCGGCGCGGGTCTCTGAGGCGGGTGGGCGGGAGGCGGAAAAGATGGCGGCAGAGGGCCGGTGGGCGGCAGCGACCCGCATTGCGGCCCGGCACGGGGTCGGGGCCGGGGCGGCGGCGCAGGCCCCCGGGGACGGACCTGGAGGCGGCGGCGGGGTGGCGGGGGAGGGGAGGGGAGGGCCGCGCCCATCCGGGGCGGGGCCGACTCCGGGCCGCGCCGGCGTGACTCAGCCCCGGCCCGGCCCGCCGGCGTCTCTCGCAGTTCTGGGAGGTGATCAGCGACGAGCATGGCATCGATCCTACCGGCACTTACCACGGCGATAGCGACCTGCAGCTGGAACGGATCAACGTGTACTACAACGAGGCCACCGGTGAGACACCACGCCCCTTCCCTAACTCCTTTCTGCCTTCCCCTGCGCCCCTTCCTTCGCTGACGTCCTCATCCCCTTTCCCCCGCCCCAGGTGGCAAGTATGTGCCCCGCGCTGTGCTTGTGGACCTGGAGCCGGGCACCATGGATTCCGTGCGCTCGGGACCCTTCGGCCAAATCTTCAGGCCAGACAACTTCGTTTTCGGTGAGCCGCGGGTGGGGGCTGGGCGGCGGCTTGGTCGCCAGGAGGCTCAAAGGTCAAGGGGTGGCCAAGGTCACCCGTGGGTACCGCAGAGCTGAGATGGTGATCCAGTCTGCCCCCTGGGCAGAAGCTGTCGCCCCTGGACACCCTCCTCCTCTTCCTGGAGGCACTCAATCTCCTAAAGCGGCTTTGGGAGGGAGGCCCAGCTGTCCAGCCGCAGGGAAGGAGTCAGCAAATGTAATCTTCCTGCTACAAACGTCGAGTTGCAGGCAGTGGAAGCTGAGTTGCAGCTCATCTGTCCTTGAGAATTGGCAGGGGCCGCCTGTGGGAGGGGATGGCTTATTGGTAAGCCATCTTGGCTGGATCCCTAACTCAATTTTTAATTGAGCAGCCTCTTGTCTTACCGGTTTGGAGGCCCATTTGCTTTACCTGCCGGCTGAGTTCTGTGTGTTCCCTTACACCGTGTCATTTGGGCTTTTTTGGCACGGGTGACTAGTGGTGACCACATGCCCAGCAAAGAGTGACCGGCTGCCTTCTTACAGGTCAGAGTGGTGCCGGGAACAACTGGGCCAAGGGGCACTACACGGAAGGTGCGGAGCTGGTCGACTCGGTGCTGGACGTTGTGAGGAAGGAGGCTGAGAGCTGTGACTGCCTGCAGGGCTTCCAGCTGACCCACTCCCTGGGTGGGGGGACCGGGTCTGGGATGGGTACCCTCCTCATCAGCAAGATTCGGGAGGAGTACCCAGACAGGATCATGAACACGTTCAGTGTGGTGCCCTCGCCCAAGGTGTCGGACACGGTGGTGGAGCCTTATAATGCCACCCTGTCGGTCCACCAGCTCGTAGAAAACACAGATGAAACCTATTGCATTGATAACGAGGCCCTCTATGACATTTGCTTCAGAACCCTAAAACTGACCACACCTACTTACGGGGACCTCAACCACTTGGTGTCAGCCACCATGAGCGGGGTCACCACCTGCTTGCGCTTTCCCGGCCAGCTCAATGCTGACCTGCGCAAGCTGGCTGTCAACATGGTCCCCTTCCCCCGCCTGCACTTCTTCATGCCCGGCTTCGCCCCACTGACCAGCCGAGGCAGCCAGCAGTACCGGGCCCTGACGGTGCCCGAGCTCACCCAGCAGATGTTCGATGCTAAGAACATGATGGCTGCCTGTGACCCCCGCCATGGCCGCTACCTGACCGTGGCCGCAGTGTTCCGGGGTCGCATGTCCATGAAGGAGGTGGACGAGCAGATGCTGAATGTCCAAAACAAGAACAGCAGCTACTTCGTCGAGTGGATCCCCAACAACGTGAAGACCGCTGTGTGCGACATCCCGCCCCGGGGCCTAAAGATGTCAGCCACCTTTATCGGCAACAGCACCGCCATCCAGGAGCTGTTCAAGCGCATCTCGGAGCAGTTCACGGCCATGTTCCGGCGCAAGGCCTTCCTGCACTGGTACACGGGCGAGGGCATGGACGAGATGGAGTTCACCGAGGCCGAGAGCAACATGAACGACCTGGTGTCCGAGTACCAGCAGTACCAGGACGCCACGGCCGAGGAGGAGGGCGAGTTCGAGGAGGAGGCGGAGGAGGAGGTGGCCTAGAGCTGATACCCGGTAAAGCGTGTGGAAGCTGTGTGAACTCTTTAATCGCTCACAATCTGTTCTCCCATAGCCGTGTTTCTGTGTGCACTTGCTCCTTTTCCTGTCTTGACGTCACATGCTGTACAGACGCCACCATTAAAGCATTTTCATAGTGTCTGGTTTCGCCTCTCCAGTTCCTTCTGATACGCTCTGCGGGTGCTGTTGCCGAACGTCAGCGCGTAGTTGTCTTGCATGGCTGTGAGGGTGACCCTGCAGCTGAGCCCCAGCCTTGCCCCTCGCCCAGGAAGGGCATTCGGAGGGCCGCCCTGGGCACCCACCCACCTGGCCCACCCACACTGAACCTCTGGAGGGGCCCCGTGGTCTGGAAGTGGCCAGCCTCCGTGGCTTTGAGTAAGGGGGGGAGCCCCCTCCTCACTGGGGGGCGGGGGGGTGAACCCTTGGGCCATATAGCTGGCTCTGTGCCAGTGGTATGCGGCAGTTACGGCCCCCCGGCCCCCCAACTCCTTCCTGGAGCAGCCTGGTCACTGTGTCCTTGTTGAGCAGGTAGGTGAGGGACCCGGTGTGTACTCACATGGTATAAACCCCATGTAGAAAGGGATCAGGCCTTGGCTGTTATAGATGGTGGTGTTGGGCCAGTGTGTTCTGGGCAGCCTTTCCCCCAAAGCACAGATGGGATTTTTGAACAGGAACTGTGGAAACAGGCAGGTGCTGACACGCTGCCTTCCCCAACCAGTAAGCGCAACAGGTGATGGTGGGGGCTGGGCTGGTGCTCCCAAGGGCTCCCCTGCCCTACCCTCCCCACAGTGCTGGGGAGCAGTGAGCCTAGATCTGGCCAGAAGGACGAGGGGGTACAGAGGGGGAGCAGCATCCCCTCCCCAGGCCTTAGGGAAGGCTGCCCTTCACAGCCCCCTCTGGGGAGGCCGGCTGAGCCTTGGCCATGCTCCTTCCTGCCAGGAGGTGTGGACACCACCCCGAGTGGGCCATGCTGGGCACTTGGAGCGGGCGCGGGAGTGTGATGTCCTCGTACCTGGCTCTTGTCAAACTCGTCCATGGCCTGTGTGACACCTTCGCGGTAATTCACCCCCATCACCCAGGCAAACCGAGGGACAAAGCCAGCATAGCCTAGGGAAGGGAGTCATCAGGGCCCTGGCCCAGGTCCCCGTCCCCTGCCTCTGGGCATAACCCCTTCATAACCCTAGACTTGCCTGCTGGGGCCTGGTGGCGGCGGTGGGCAGGAGCTTCCCACCCTGGGAGAGGCTGGCCTCTAGGAAACAGCCCTGGGGGCGGGGCCGTGGCTGGGGGCGGACCCGCGGGCAGCTCTCCTCACTTGCTCTCACCCCTCATCCTGCCTGGGACGTGAGGGTGCGCACACCCAGGCCCCGGACACCCACCTGAGATGGCTTTGCGTTGGATCAGGTTGGGGTGGTCCAGCTGGGGGAGCCTCTGAAACCTGCCCACGTCCAGTGTCTCCTGCTGGTGGCCTGGGGGTGGGTATTCATCCCTCCTGCAGTGGTACAGCTGGGATGGGAGGGGCAAGTCACCGCCGCAGCCCCACTGGGGTCTGGCAGGGGTGAGGCTTTAAACCCAGCACACCGTCCAGCTACCTGGGCCGGCCCAGGGGCCTCGTGGGCAGGGGTGGTGCTCTTCCAGCCCTCCTCCCCATATGCCAGCCGCAGGCCTGGGTGTCCAAAATCTTCGGAGTCCCCTTTCCTGCCCGGTGGGCACGGGGGGTAAGGGGGGTAGGGCACGAAGCCCGCAGGCAGCAGGACCTCCCTGGATCCGTTCTCTGCCTCCGGCGGCTCCTCGTGGGGTGGAAACCGGCCCAGGATCTCAAAGTTCTTGTAGGGCTTCAGACCTGTGTGGACAGGGTGAGTATGAGCGGTGGCAGGCAGGAGGGCGAGCCTGGGGCGGGCGGGCGGGCGGCTCACCGGTGTAGTGGGGGATGTAGGGCTCAACCAGGTCTCGGTAGGGGATCAAAGGTGGCTTGGGCTTGCTGAAGTCCTCGATGAACTTGGGCTTGGAGACGGGGGACAGCACCGAGCAGGGGCTCTTGCGCACGCTGGGGTCTGTGAGCAGCTGTGCTGTGGTGCGCCCATAGGTGTTTCCCACCTGGTAGCGCAGCTGCGGGTAGAAGCCGGCATAGCTGCGGACGGAAGAGGAGGGGGACGCAGGGCCCTTGAGAGGAGGGCGCGGCCCCAGCCCGCTGGCCACAGGCACAGGCGCCTGACCTCACAGGATGGGAATCCCAGGAGCACCTGCCTTCAGAGGCTCTTGAGGCTTGAATGGGCGAGCCGAGCCCTGAGAATAGGCCTGCCCCGCAGGCGAGATGCACGGTCATTCACCGTCAGACTGCCACGCGGTCTCCACCCAGCCGCCCGTGAACAAGGAGCTTAGAGATGACACGGGGAACTCTGCCCCCTTGAAGCATTTATGGGGATGGCGACAGGTTCCAGGACCAGACCAAGGCACAGCCCAGTCTACATGACGTGGTAACCCGGGAAGGCATTCCTGACTTTGGACACCTGGGAGGCCAGGAGCCATCTGTGTGGAGCCAGCATTTGAGAGGCAGGCGGGAGGGCTGCTGGGAGGAGGCAGCAGGCTGAGCTGAGTGTGTTTTGAGAGACCAGAGGAGGAGTGTGGGCATCCCAGTGCAGGCCCCGAAGGGGAGTAGCGGTGGGGCATGACCCGAGGAGGGCGAATTGTTTTCTTTTAAAAACCTGTCAAAGTGGGGGCGCCTGGGTGGCTTAGCCGGTTAAGCGTCTCACTTTGGCTCAGGTCATGATCTCATGGTTTGTGGGTTCAAGTTCCATGTTGGGCTCTGTGCTGACCGCTCAGAGCCTGGAGCCTGCTTCGGATTCTGTATCTCCCTCTCTCTCTCTCTCTCTCTCTCCCCCTCCCCTGCTCATGCTCTGTCTCTCAAAAATAAATAATTGCTAGTTAGAGATTAGCAGGACTGAGGCGAGAAGGGTCAGAGCCCTCTTCTGTGTCACCTGACCTCATGCTTCTCCAGAACCATTGTGGAAAGTTGGGTCTGACTCCTTTCTGGACTTTTTTCTTTTATTCTTTTTAATGTTTATTTTTGAGAACACACAAGCAGGGGAGGGACAGAGAGAGGGGGACCGAGGATCTTTGAAGGGGGCTCTTCCCTGACAGCAGACAGCCCGATGTGGGGCTTGAACTCAGACACTCAGCCAACTGAGCCGCCCAGGTGCCCCAGACTTTTCTCTCTCCCATGGATCTGTGTGTAGGCGTGTACGTGTGCACATGTATTCCAGAGAGGACTTGCTTTTATTTTAGTGGTTACCTTGGGGGTACCTAGTAAGGCAGCCTGGCAGCCTGGGCGATCAGTTTACTCTGGAGGCTTCTGTCTTTGAGACATGCAGCATCCTATGGGGTTTACACTTCGTCAGCCTCTGCCAGCTGTTGGGCCCTGGTGTTTTCCGCTCTTACCAGACCTGTTGGCCATCTGGTAGGCTCTCGGCAGGGTGCCAGAGGGGAGGGGGGGTTCGGGCCCTGGGGGCAGCCCTGCCCTAGCACTTCTGCCCCAGGCCTTTCCGGGGGCTCCCAGGCCTCACCCCCACTCCCTAGAGACTAGCTTGGTGCTGTCTTCACAGGTGGCCTTGCGCCCTTGGGCCCCAGCCGCACTCTGCCATCCTCCACGGACCCCGGCCTCCCTCAGGGCTCCAGCACTTACCCAGGGATGTAGTGAGGTTCTGGCGTAAAGAGGCTGTGTTTCTGAGTAGCTGTCATCTTGCCTCAATAGCGCCTTTGATGGCTCAGCCCCTTTCAGTGTCTGACTCCCTTCCCCGAGAGGGGTCCTTGTCGCCTGGAAACCATTGTGAAGAGGCCTGCCATTGTTGGGCCCTACCTGGGCCCAGCCCCTCCCTTAACCCTGGGAGTGCTCCCATTTTACAGGTGGGCCACCTCGGCCCAGACAAGCCGCAGGCTTGTCACACTGAGGACCTCTGGGCTCAGAAAACCGGGGCAGCCGTGGTGGCCCTGCCAGGAACTGCGGGGTAAAATCAGGCCTGGCCTCTTGCTGCCCCGGGAGCCAGTAGCCAGCGGGAAAGCAGCCTCCCCACCAGGCTTGCTCCCGAGGCCAGAGGCTCTGGAAGCTTCGCAGCATCGTGGGAAGCCTCGTCAGGAGGCTTCCGAGCTTCAGCGCTGCTGCCAACTCTGCCCGGAGAGCCTTTCCCCTGGAACTGGGCACCGCTTTCCATTCTAAACAACTCCTGATTTTATTATTATTATTTTTGGTCTAGGAATGACTTTCCAACTATATTAAACACAAAGGGAAGTACAAAAGCAAAGGATTAGCAGATTCTAGTACCTGTCAAAGAACACAAAAATTACTCAAAGGCAGACTACGAATTGGGAAGAAAAGATTGCAACAAGTGTTATGGACAGATATGCTATCAGCATAAAGACTTTGTAAAGCAAAAAGACAAATTAACACAATGATAGAAAAAGGCACAAGTAATGTGAACCCCTTAAGACCCCAGAGTCCATACACAGACAGAAAGTTGAGCCTGAAATAAACGCTGGTGAGGTCTGACACTGGAAGTTTCTGACGCTCATTGCCAGCAAGATCCCAGGCGCTGTCCGGATAGCAACTGTGGACTACAAAGCACGTCCATACAAGACATGACACTCTTTGACGGGGTGCTTCCACTCGTGGGAATCTACCCTAAGGAACGACTGACATTTAGCGGAAGACATCTGTGCTGTCATCCATCACAGTAAAATGTGTTACAGGGAGAAATCAGAACTAACCCAAACGTCCAGTGCTTGCTAATAAAGCCCCGCCTGCAGCCACCGTCAATTATGCTCTCAGAGAACACTGTGCAATAAGGGAGGGGCCCGGAGCCCCGGTTGTGAGCCCCTCACCCTAAGGAGACACAGGTTTCCTCAAGCAAGTCTCCATTTGTCTATCTGTTCCTCCATCTGGAGCGCCCCTGGAGGCCAGGCAGGGTCAATGCTGGATGGGAGGGATCTGCAGAGAGAGGGACTGGGTCTGGGTAGGGCGGGCCTGCAGAAGATATTCTTGACCGGGCCCCGTCCGCACCGATTAGGTCAAGACCAGAGCCGGGGCTGGCAGGCTGCTCAGCTGGAGGAGGCACAGCAAGGGCACTGGCGCCCGGGCAGGCTCACTCTCATTTGGGCTTCTTATTCCTTCGCATTTCAGCCTGAGCGGTCCCATTCATCCGTGACACCTTACAGCCTCCGTGCTCCTACGCGGAAGACAGGCCCCCACATCTCTGCCCTGCCTGGGCAACCAGGCAGCTCCAGTCCCAAGGCTGCCTCTACGGTCAGCATGGTTCACCCAGACCCACCTGCCACCGCTTTCCTTTTCTGAGAGCTGGGCTTCCAGCGAGAGCTCCTCCTCCTCCAGGGAGTTTCCCTGGATCCCTCCACCCAACCCCCTACCACCTCGTTCTGGATGGCACTGCACAGCGAGCATTCCATAGCAGCCACCCTCTCCTCATCCCTGTGCGGAGGCCTGAGTCCTCCCAGAAGCCCTTCTAAAGTAGACCCTGGCCCGCCAGGGGACCCCGAATTCTATGAGAGGAGAGGGTAGGGATAAGAGGAGAGAAGAGAGGAAATGAGGCCAGGCCAGGAGTCACTGGGGCAGACTAGGGGTCCCCCCGGCCAAGGCTGACGCCAGGGGAGGGCCCCCTCGGAGGGCTGGACAGGGTTCCTTCTCTAGGGAGTCCCTGGCAACTGAGGCCCATTGAGGGCCCAGTGAGGTCACAGAGCTCCGAGATGTCCCTGGGGAAGGGAGCCAGACACTTTGACAATGAATTTTGACCAGAAGGCTGTGAAATTCATGGCAAATTTTTACATCAATGGAGGCAAACACTGGACCCACGGCCCGCTGAAGCAGAAGACACTTGTGCCATACCAGTAACTTCCCAGGGGGGTGGGGGGCTGGGGGGGCAGCCCGAACGCAGTGGCCTTTGTACTGGTTGGATGGCTCTTGCTTCTTTTCTGTCCCCCTTGTAGGCCCAAGGCCTGTGTCTTGTTGCTGGGCCCCCAGCCAGGGGCCACCTGGGAGGAGATGCGGCCCCCAGGACTGCAGGAGTTTCAGCCTGGCCTCAGGATCCAAACGGCGCCCCCCCCGGGGCTCCCCGCTGTCTGCACCCAGAACCTGAGGGAGCGTGAGTAAGGGTCCTGGCTAGCCCCTACCTCTGTCTGGCCTGAGGAGGCGCCCAGGGGTGGGGAGGTCCTGCCTGCGGAGACTCTAGGCCCAGAGCTTGCTTCCCGCCAGTGCTGGAGCGACGCCCACCCGTCGTCACCGACCTGCAAACCCCGGGCCCCACCACGTACCAAGTGCCGGCTGCTTCCCTACGCGAGTCCTCCCCACACCCCCACTTCAGCATCGGCCGCAAGCACCCCACCCGCGGTGCGTGGCCCCTCCCTGCGCGCCTCCACTCCGTCTACCCCCTGCCCGGGGGGTGGGGCTCCGGCTACGAGCCTGCCGTCCCCAACCACGCCGCCGCTGCTGCAGAGGGCGGAGGCCGCAGGGCGTGGCAGACGGTGTGGTTCCAAAACGAAAGCCCCTTCGTACAGAAGGCCGACTTCCAGCAAGAGCAAAAGGTGGCCGGCCGGCCGCACGCGTCCCGCGGGGCGGGCCGGAAGCTGCGGGCCGGGGAGGGGCGGGGCCTGGGCGCGCGCGGAGGGCGCCGGGAGGGGCGGGGCACAACTACGGGGCGGGCTGGAGGAGGGGCCCGCGGGGGCGGGGCCTGCGGGTAGGCGGAAGCGGTCTCAGGAGCGGGCTTACGGGGCGGGGCCCGTGGGGGCGGGTTGGGGGAGGGGCCTGCGGGGGCGTGGACAGGGGGCCTTGGGCGGGGCGGGAGGTGCAGGCCGCAGCCTCTTTCCCCTCAGTGGCCGTCGCCCGCGGACTATCGGCCCCTCGACCAGTCTGCCTGCCCGGCCTTCAGCTTTGGGGGCCGCCGCCCCGCCTCTAAGACTGCTGAGGCGCGTTCCCGCCCGGGGCTGATTTGGGCCGGCCTTGCGGGTTACCGTGCCCAGTCCCGGCTCCAGGCCCCTCCTCAGGCGCCGGGGGGCGAGAAGGGCCCCAGCCCCAACACCTACGACATCTCTCCCGGGTGCCGGCTGCAGAACCCCCGCCCGCCCGCCTTCTCCATGAGCCGCTCACGGGCGTTCGCCTCCTGGGTCAGCTCCTGTAAGGAGACCTGTGGTGGCGGACGCCAGGCCGGGGGCAGGAGTGGGGACTAAGCCGGTGGGGACCTGGGAGCCGTGCAGTGGCCGTCGCCACTGGTGGGGGTCCCACCTTCTCTCTGCAGCCCACACCCCCGGCCCGGCTGCCTACTACGTGGAGGATTGCTATAACTCACGCTTCCCCTCGGCGCCTGGGGTGGTCATCCAAGGCGTGAGAAGGCCCAAGCGCCACGACACGGGACCCTTCTGCACGCTGTAGCGCCCGCTGGGCCCAAACTGGCCACCGGGTGACCCGTGGACCCCTGGTCTCCCTGGGGGCCCGAGTTTGGCCTTCTGACCCTCTGGGCGCCTCTGATCCGCCTCCAGGCTGGGCAATCCCTTAGTGAGCTGCAGACAACAAGCAGGGCCCAGCCCGAAGCCCCCACCTGCCCACCCACTCGCCATACAGAGATGCTGTCGGTTCTTTCCAACTCTGTTGTGTCTATGACTGGTGAGCTGTCCCACAGATGTGGCCTGCTGCCCACCTGGCGTGCGTGGCTTTCCTCGGCCAGGGGTCTCCCTCTGCTTCCCCTTCAGTGCTCTCTTCTCTAGGGTGGGTGGGGTGGCAGCCTGGGACTTCCTGGCTGGGGACGGGATGGGAGGGAGACCTGTTGGCAGTGCAGGACCCCCTCACCTGGCTGTGCCACCCAGCAGACTGGTCCAGCTGCCAGCCTAGCCAGCCACCAGGGAGGGCCCAGAGGATCGGCTTCTCAGGGCCTGGCCCTACTTCCTTCAGCTCCTGCCCAAAGACCCTATGAACCTGCCTGGGGCTGTGCAGGCCGCGCCGCAGCACCTTCACTTGTCAGGGCCCTGTCCTTGCCCTCAGCAGCAACCTGCCCACTACCCAGGGGTTGTCACCAAGAGTGCCTCCCTCCAAGGGCCTCACTGCAGCTGGTGGTGACTGCACCGATTCCTCCAGGGATCCTCCCTGTGCCACCCAAGTCCTGGGCCAGAGCTTGGCCCCTTCACAAAGGCACTGCAACAGCTGCTCCTGTGGTGTGGACATCACCCCATTCTGCAGGGAGGCCAAGGCCCAGAGGGTCTGAATGCCACGCACCTGCGACCTCCTCTAGGGTGGAACTGCTGGGGGTTGAGTGCCAGCACCCCTGGGAATCAGAGCAGTGGGACTGCAGATGGCCATCCTGGGGCCCGCGGCTGACCGGCTCGGGCGGCAGGCAGCAGAGACGGAGCTGTGGGAGCCCTGGCCTTGGGAACTTGGCTCAGGGGAGGGGGGGTGGGAACCAGAAGCTCTGCTCACTGCTGCACCACTGGCAACTCCTAGTGCTCCAGGTCAGAAGTGGTACCAGCTGGAAGGATGGAACAATCCCCTCTAGCTGGGCTGAGGAGGGAGGGCTTCCTGGAGGAGGCAGTGAATTGACTTTTAAAGATGATCAGGAGTTTGCTGGGCAACGTGAAGGGAATTTCTAGCAGGATAAACCTCAGAAGCCAATGCACACAAAAAGGGAGATGTGGTGTTTCGTGTGGCCAAGCTTGGGAGGGTACAGGGCTGTTCAGGTGAAAGGAGACGAGCTGGTGAAGCGACAGCCTGCACAGGGCTGAAAGCTGGGTCCAGGGGCTTGCACACCTAGCAACGGGGAGCCCTCGCAGGGTGTGTCAGACCAGGCAGTGCCCACTGACTGTGTGAGCTTCTTGCACCCAAAGGACAAGGGACACCAGGACAGCTGAGAGTTGAATTTGCAAAGTGTCAGGTTGGACACTTCAGCCTGAGGCCCACCACCTTGGGCGAACTTGGGGTTACATGCTCACGGTGATGAGGGCAGCCATCCTTGGTCATGATCCCACTTTGCCGCCAGAGCTCTGCTAGGTCTCTGTTGGGCACCTCTGGAGGCACACTTAGATTTTAGTCGCATTTGCAACAACCCTGTGCTGTGAGCGTCATCCCTATCCCGGTCTGACAAGGGGGAAGCCAAGTTCCAGGGCGGGAGAGGGCTGTGCGCCTGGTTGAGGCCCAAGGGCAGGGAGCTTCCGCGGCTGAACGCTCCTTTTCTTGAAGCAAAACTCTTCCCACCGTTAAAAGGCTGCTGTGAGGTCAACAACAGGATTGTTCATGATTATAAACATAAAACATCCTTGGTTAAAACGTTAGTTCTGAAATACATAAAGCAGGCCAACCCCGCCGGCAGCACCCCTTCTCCCGTGCCCGGCCCCCTCCCCGGTTCCCGCACCCTCAGGGGCTCCGCAGCACCCTGCTGGCCCCGGGCGCGGGTTCTTCTGTGGCCCCAGAGGAGGACAGGGTCAGAGGTGGCGCACGCCACGAGGTCCGGCCGGAGTCCGGCCTCGGGACGGGGGTGGCGCTCGGGCGGGCGGGGCCCCTGCCGACAGCCCGCGCAGAGCCTGAGCACAGCTTCCGCTCGCGTCCGCTTCGCCCGGCGCCGGGCGGGACGCCGCTCCCGGGAACCTCTGCGCGGCGGTCGCAGCGTTTCCGGGGGGGCCCGTTGGCCAACGGACACGGCCTCGCGGGGCGGAAGTGGGCGGCTGCGGTGCCCGCGGAGCGGCGCCGCGGGCGGCACCTGGCCGAGCTGGAGGGCGCCGGGGAGCGGAGCTCGGGCGGCCCCCGAGGCCCGAGCGAGCGGACTTCGGGGGGGCCTGCGGCGGCCGCGCCGGCATCGGGGGAGCGCGGCGGGGATGGGGCGCCGAGCCGGGCAGGCGCGGGGGCCTCGGCCATGTTCGCGGGGCTGCAGGACCTGGGCGTGGCCAACGGTGAAGACCTGAAGGAGACGCTGACGAACTGCACGGAGCCGCTCAAGGCCATCGAGCAGTTCCAGGTGGGCCCCGGTGGGGAGGCTGGCGGCCTGGGCGTGAGCCCTGCCGGAGGCGAGGGGCGCGTGGGAGGTGGGCAGACGTCCGTTCTGCGAATGGAGGAAGCGGATGCCCTGAGCTGGTTCCCCGCTGATGGACCTCTGGTTGGGTTCCGGGGCTTGCAGTTATAACCAGGGGAGGGACCCTTGCCTTCTTGGGTACTCAGGGCCTCTGGGGTGCTGGCTAGGCGTGGCAGCCACCGAGGTTTCCGTTGTCGCCTCCCTGCGCACCTAGCCCCAGTAAGCAAAACCGACCCCCCCCCCCCCNGGGTACTCAGGGCCTCTGGGGTGCTGGCTAGGCGTGGCAGCCACCGAGGTTTCCGTTGTCGCCTCCCTGCGCACCTAGCCCCAGTAAGCAAAACCGCCCCCCCCCCCCCCGCCCTGGTCCTGTGTCTCCTCAGACAGAGAATGGTGTGCTGCTGCCGTCCCTGCAGTCGGCCTTGCCTTTCTTGGACCTGCATGGGACACCTCGGCTGGAGTTCCACCAGTCGGTGTTTGACGAGCTTCGGGACAAGCTGCTGGAGCGCGTGTCCGCCATCGCCTCGGAGGGGAAGGCTGAGGAGAGGTAGGTGGGCGGGTGACTTGGGCAGCCCCCTTCCCAGCCTCGGGAGGACTCAGCAGCAGTTAGTGTTCCATTGGCCGCACACCCCTGCTGGAAAAGGGGGCCTTTGCTGGCGTGCCCCACCCACGGACACCCATCCCCTGATCTGTCATCTGTCTGGCGACAAGTGGACAGCTGCTTCGGACTCGGTCCTGTGCTGCTCCCTTAGTCACATGACTCTTTCCAGGTACAAGAAACTGGAAGATCTTCTGGAAAAGAGCTTTTCTCTGGTGAAGATGCCGTCCCTGCAGCCAGTGGTGATGTGTGTCATGAAACATTTGCCCAAGGTAAAACCCGCGGGCCCACGTGCTCAGGGCGCTCTCCGCGTGAGCCCTCGCTTGGAGACATGGAGCATGCGCTTCGTCAGGCTGGCACCTTAGCTCTGGGGAGCCCTCCTGAGCTGCCTGCCCAAACCCCGAGCAGCCCCGGGGCGTGCTCTGCACGCTGGGTTTCCCCCAACAAGCCCCACGGATGCTGACGCCTGGTGTGTGAGTTGGCTTGTGGGACCAGTGGCGACCCGGCAAGAGCTGTTTGTGTTCAGCTTGGCTGCTGCTTTATGTGTGCTGCGGCCTGGGGCCCAGTCACCGGCACCCCCAGTTGGTGGCGCTGGGCTGGGGTGGTCTTTGCTGGGGGAGCTGAGGCCTCCTGACCTGTCCTGAGGGAGACGCCTGGGCCGCTCACGGGTGGCGGGTACGGTCCCGCAGGTCCCGGAGAAGAAGCTGAGGCTGGTGATGGCCGACAAGGAGCTGTACCGGGCCTGCGCTGTGGAGGTGAAGCGGCAGATCTGGCAGGACAACCAAGCGCTGTTCGGCGACGAGGTCTCCCCGCTGCTGAAGCAGTACATCCTGGAGAAGGAGGGCGCGCTGTTCAGCGCAGAGCTCTCCGTCCTGCACAATTTCTTTAGCCCTTCCCCAAAGACGAGGCGCCAGGGCGAGGTGAGGAGCGGGGCGCCCCGACCACCCTGGTTCCCACCCCCGGTGCACGTTTCAGTGGTTCTGGCCTTGGGAAGGGGGCGCTTGTCTGGCTGGGGGCGGCCGCGGGGGGCTAACGTGCGCCTCTCTGGTTTGATGTCCTTGGTGCTCAGTGAGTCGGCAGGCCTTCCTGGTTAAGCTTGTTGTGTTCTCTTTTGGCTCTGGGAAGTTTTCTTTCTCTTCTTTTTTTTAAAGAGATTTTACTTTTAATACTTTTTGTTCGTTTTTTTGAGGGGGAGAGAGAGCATAAGTAGGGGAGGGGCAGAGAGGGGGCGGGGACACAATGTGAAGCCGAAGCAGGTTCTGTGCTGACAGCTCAGAGCCCGCTGCGGGGCTTGAGCCCACAAACCGTGAGATCATGACCTGAGTGGAAGTCGGGTGCTCAACCGACTGAGCCGCCCAGGCGCCCTTAGAGATTTTATTTTTAAGTCATCTCTGCACCCAACATGGGGCTCAAGCACGCAACTCTAAGATCAAGAGTCTCGTGCTTTTCCAACTGAGCCAGCCAGGCGCCCGTCTTTTCCTTCCGCATTTGATTCGGTCATCACTTTGACAAATGTTGCTTGAGTTCTGATTTTCTGCTGTAGGCGCCTGCACCCTTTGTTGACTCCGGAGGCCAGGTTGTTTGCCGGAGGCACTTGCAGTGTGTGAGGGAGCAGGTGCTCCACAGTAAACGTCACGTGCTGGGCCCCTGGGGCTTGCGGGGTGGACAAGGGCCGTGGAGATGTGAGGTCGCAGGGCGAGGCGAGGCGGGGCTGGGCAGGTTGGGGTCTGGGAGTGAGGAAGAAGAGCCGGGTTGGGGTGTGAGCACAGGCTCTGCCTTCCCAGGCAGGCCGGCTGTCTGGGAAGATGAACTGATGTGGCCAGAGCCAAGAGCAAGCAGGGGGTGTGGGGGTGGGGGTGAGCTCGGGAGGGTGGAGGCCACCGTGGAGACTTTAGCTCCTCTCAGTGAGTTTGGGAGGGAGTCTGCTGAAATTGCCTGACCTGCTCCCGCATGATGGCTTAACAGGGGAGGGAGGTAATGGGAGCCCCCAGATCCT